CGCATGTGCCGAACATGTAAAAATGAGGGGAATGGCTTTGAAAAGATCAGTTTGTTACACTAGCTACGTGTATCTTTTTGCGTGCAGCGGGTATGCTGAATCCAGCCACAAGAGATATCCCAGTTCTTGCAAGAGAAAAATACTTTATATGCCGCGATGTCTAAGTTGGGCGTATATGACCGCACTAAAACAAACTGAATAGTCTGAACAGTCTGAACATTTTGTTAACTTGTGGATTTTCCACTTAACTGCCAGTCACCAAAACTTCCTGATATGCTGCAGGTGTTTCTCGACAGTGAATAAGCCACGCACAGCAAATAAAGGCGGGCTTTGAAATCTCGATCGTCACAGCCACATATTTAGTTACCGAGATGATCCCAACTAAAGGTCGGGCGTAGCCCGATGACAAGGGATAACAACTTTCCGTCAATCATTCAGGAATATCACACCAAATCGAAAGCCAGGAGGCGCAACCGCTCCTTGGGAGTGGCTTTTCTCCTTGCACGTACGCCACTCCGTAAACTGCTGCTCAATGAGGTTGGCCGGTGCGGAGTTGTTCGATGGAAGTCCGCGGGTTATTATTCTAAAGTGGAACCAGACAGTGGACGCGCGGTTGAAAATTCTTCCGGCAGTGGTCACATCTGACTTATGTAGTTAATATTGGATCTTCGAGTAGTTAGTTAATTAACAAACTAGTTAACAGTTAGTTAACTAACTTTCTTAGTAGGTACCGAGCCGCATCGGATCTTTGGAATTTTTGGCAGCTGACTAACTTCAGCGACGGCACGAGTCGGGCGCTATCTCGTCCATTGTTGCGCCGAGTGAGGGACTTGTCTATATAACCACGGAGTTCTCGATAACATCTACCGCACGAGAATTTAGATATTCTCAGTGTTGAATATTTTGGGAGATTAAATTAAAATTTTTCACACGGTTATTCCCACTAAGAAGTTGGTTGGCTCTCCTCAGCTGGAAAGTAAGTGGTTATCTATCTAACTAATCTGCTGTTAAGGTGCCACCAAATTAAAAAGGACAATTCGAACAAAAGACTCACTGGTTGGTTGGAGAAAGGGGGAGAGAAACCATATACGCACGCACACACGTACTCTACAAGCTCCTGGAATTATAGTTCAGAACAGTTTGTGGTAAACACGAACCCAAATGGGAGAGTTGCGAATCCTCTCTTGAACACGATTATGCTCCTCCCAGTCGATTTCGCGGCGTCCAGAATCAACATCGATCTGGCTAATCTTCAGCCAGCCTTTTCCCCTCCAGAAATAACCACAGACCCAAAAGCACAGAACAATCGGGGCCGCCAGGTATGACTTGAAGAAAGCCTCTGCATTCCGAGGAGCAACCGCGACGTAGAACTACAACGCAGGCACATTAACAACAACATCCTGTTTGGAAAAGGGGACCGTCGTTCCAGGGCTAAAAGGAGTGTTAACAAACCTGTGCAATAAGAACATTTACAACTAGAGCCAGACCAAACCACGATCCCCAAACACCCCAAGCAGCTTTGAATGGAAGTTCAGCAACGGAGTGGCCGTGGTAAGCCCAGGCAGCGCGGAAGCGAATGTGCGCGAAGCAGATCTGACGATGCGATTAGTCGCCCATTTATGCATACCTGCCGCACCCTAGGCATCCAGGTAGGTAGATGAAGTATTCGGAACAGCCATTTTGGAGAATGAACTTACACTTCCCCATGTAAACAGTGCAGCAAGACCGGAGAGAGCAAGGAGCCAGGCAAAGATATCCTCACCCTTGGCGGTCAAGTTGATATAGGCTAGGGCGCCGAAGATAATAATGGTAACTGTTGATACCAAAGGTCTGCCGGCACGATCAACGTAGGCAAAAAGTGTAGGGGCATACCCTTGCTCAGCCAGAGCTGTCAGGGTTCGGGAACCACCATAGACACTCGAATTTCCAATGGAGAGAACGGATATTAGGATAATCACGTTCATGAAGCTGTCAAACCCGTCGAGTCCAGCATCCTTGGCAGCAATGACAAACGGAGAGGCTTTCACATCAATATAGCCACTTCCGAGCAACCGAGGATCATCATGGCGGACGAGGAGACCAACAAAGAAGAGAGCGAGGATATAAAACAAGGTGATACGCCAAAAGACCTGCTTCACAGCGGAAGGCAAAGATTTAACAGGCGTTTTGGATTCTGCTGCAGCGAGACCGACCAACTCTGTTCCAGAGAAAGCAAAAGCTGCAGTAACGAAGACGGCGCAGAAGCCTTTGAAGCCACCAGCGAATGCACCAGGGTTATACCAAAGCCGAACTCCCCAGTACTTCGAATAAAGGCCCCTCTCAGGTCCACCACCGCAGACACAAATCAGGGCGATGATCATGAAGATGACGATGGCAGCAAGCTTTAGACAACTGCTCCAAAATTCCTCCTCACCGTAGCCGAGGACGCCGAAGATATTTATGAGAATAATAGCAACCAGGAAAATCGTGATCCAGACTCCTATACTGATATCAACTTGCCAGTATCCGATAGTCATGGCTGCGACAGTAAGTTCGAGGGGTAAAACAATCGCCCATTGGAAAACGTAATTCCAACCCATGGCAAAGCCCCATGATGGATCAATGAAGCGCGTGGAATAGGTATAGAAACCTCCAGAGATTGGGTACATAATCGCCAGTTCTCCAAGAGCGTACACAACGTTGAACATCATCTGCGAAAGTTGTTAACAGCAAAAAGCGACTACAGTGGCTCACTGCGCATGTAGCGCCATTGGTGGATATCTGAATCGGACACAATTACTTACCACACCAATAATGGCGAAATCGATCAGTACAGAGGCTGGTCCGCCAGTGGACAGTGAACCTCCAGAGCCCACGAACAAACCAGCGCCAATACTGCCACCAATCGCAATCATATGCAAATGTCGACTCTTCAGGGTCTGGTTCAATTGGTTGTGCTTGTCCGCGAGGGTCCTCTTTTTGAACGACTCAGACGTACATCCCATACGTGTCCAGAAACTCAACTGGGCCTGGCCTTCGACCGTCCCTTCATGGACAGGAGCGCTGGGGGTTTCATCGTAGGCTGGCAAGGGGGCAGCGGGAGGGTCCGCCTTGAAACCCTTTTCATAGTCGTCTTTTTCCATTGCTTCGGGCAAGTGGCACAGTGGGAGGAGGAAGGAAGAAAAGCTAGGAAAGATAGAAAAAAATAGAGGAGCCGCGAGTGCCAAGACTCTGCGCAAATGCTTGCACGGACTGCGAAGATATATATATATACTGGCAAAAGCAAAAGGAGGACGACCATCCGGGGCGGGGGGGGGTTTTTGGGGGGGAAGGAGGCGAGGAGAGGGCGAAACCGGAACTTAATTAACGGCAGCAACGGCGGACAAAATTAACCAAGGGAAATCCACGGTTTCGAAGGTTGTCAGTCGAACCAAGGAACAAAACCCGAGGGAATGGGAGTTGTCCTCCCTTGATATGCCGTTCCTAAAAGCATGGCATGGGAGTATCCTCCTCCTCCAAGAATTGCCCGCCAATCTTTCGGTTATTAGCGCCAATGCAAACGGAATCATGCCAAGGGGGTGAGAGCGGGCTTGACTGGCTGCATCAGGATTCAGAATGATATTACTGATTACCGAAAAAGGGAAAGGTCGAGAACATATCTTGGAATCAGCGGGGCGACATAAGCTGGCGGCCCAACTTTTCAAGACACCCCGGATTAGAGAGGAGGGTGGGAGGAAATAAGTGAGCCCGCGCTGCGGACTCACGCTAGCTCGGCAGCCGTTTGTCTGGCGGGGCGGGCTAGGAAGGTATCATTCATGAGTCCCGAGCACATGCTGAGGTTTCATCTTCCCTGTATACATGAACGGATATCTCGGAAGTGCCCTCCTCCTCCTCCCTCCCCCCCCCCCTCCCCCCCCCCCCCTTCTCCCTTAAAAAGAAAATCAGAGGGAGATGGGAAATATTCCGCAGGTTGGCGGGCACCTACTTCTAGGCGGAGCATTGATATATGATGATGCATGTACACATAGTACATATAAATGCATTCGAGCTCTGGCAAAACTGCAGCCAAACGACTGAACACTGATAACTAGCCATTGCCACACGGAGATGGGGTGGAGGGAAAAAAAATGCCACTCAACAAATGCGCATTCTCGGATTTTCATGAGCTGCACGGTAGTCATCATTCCATTATCTTTTTACCTAGGCATGATTATCATGAAATTAAATCATTCGATTGACCAACCGAATCGTGGCCAATCCCTGCAGTCCCTTCACGGTGGGGTCGGTGCCTTATCCATCGAACTGTCAAGTGTGCCAGCCATCACGCAGGAGATGATCGTGTGGCGGGGGAGCCTCACCTGGAAATTATTCTATACTAACTTCTATGGCCTAAACAAATACTGCGTCACAGAAGGAAATAAAGGGTCTTCTCCCTTGGCAAATGGCTAAGATGAATACAGTAACAACTTAACTTGTTAGCTCGTCAGTAAGTTAAACTAGTTTGCCAACTAACCTACCTACCTAACTTGCCCCGGTGTTGTTTCAGAACGCAATTGACACACAAACAAAGAGTTGGACAGTTTTCAATTGCAGCTATTATCTGCAGTCGTCTTCCAATTCCCAGAGGGAGAGAGAAATTGAGCGAATCAAGGGGACGGGCGGGGTTCACTAGTTTCTTCGTTATCACCGTGCCCACCAGTGAGTAAATTAAATCATGGGAAGAGGCGGGATTATTTTGGAGTTACTCTACAGGTAAACTAGTTGGGAGAGTATAACAACCAACTACTAACATTCTACAGAATAATATCCATTATCCACCCTTAAAGATACATACTTATATATATATATATATAGATATAGATATAGATATAGATATGCACAGAGCACGTGTATGTCCAGCATTTAAACTCTCCATCACACGTGCTCCGTATGGCAGTTGGTTACATGGCACAGACGAACCCGTCAACTAAGTGCTCCGTACAGTTTGCCGGTCCAGCGCAAGTTAATCGCCAACCAGCCCCATGCCTTGTTCGGTCCAGGATCTCGGACCGCCTGCCTCACCGGGCTTAGCAGGGTCTCCCCCGGCTTCGGCCTGGGTTATCAACCCTGGAATTCTCTCTGCGACTCACTCCGCCCGAGATGATGTTAAGTAGTAAAAAGTTGGGGAAAGCTGGGGAAAAGCTGGAGAGGAGAGAAGACTAAATTAAGTTAACTAGTTAGTTACTGTAACTATAGTTAAGCCTGGAATGGGCTGTTGAAAAAGTCAATCCGTGGGATGATTCATCCGCTTCTTCCAAACATGGCTCCCAGCTGATATTACGATAAACACGGTTGTTGTCCGGATAACTTGAGCCCACTTCTTCACTGTTCTAATTTTCTCAGGGAACAAGGGACGTGACAGACCAGAAAGTATGGAGTTACACGATTTTGTTGGTCGCTTCTCCGCACCAGGGGGGGGGGGGGGGGTCCATGGAGGTTTATGGTGGGGATTCCGCATCCAGCCCCTCGTGCAAAGGGAAGAAGGTTCATACGTCAGATAATAAAAACTTAACAAGCGAGGACTCCGAGAGATAAGTTATATTACCCTTCCGCCTTCGTAGTAGGCGGCAATCAGCTCTCACTTCTCTCTCACATGGACCATGGTTCTGCGCATCTTGCTACCGGCCTTAGGGTTATCCAGAGGGGTCACGTTGTTTGATTCGTGTTCGTTATCTGCGGGATCCTCAATTCTCATGATGATGCAGGAAGGACAAACCTTGCGGATGGAAAGAAACGAAAGCTAAAAAGCCAAGGTTCAATCCCATGTCGATCGCTAAATCATGAGGGCAGCCGATCTCAAAATCTAAACATCTGAACTTCTGCAAGAGCACATAACTAGGTATTTCTTCTGACGTTCGCCTTCCATTTGCAAAACGCTCGGCGAATGGCCGGGTTATATTCTGCTCCGGCTCTCATTATAGTGACTTCTCCGCCCAGAGCCTTCTGTGGAGAAAGAAGATGCACCACGCCAACACACACACCCCTTGGAGTCGATTTGGAATCAATCATTGGATACTGCAGATTGCCCAAACAAAACAAAACAAAATCACCCAGATTCACAGTCTCTCTCACTCCTCCAAGTTTAATAGTTTAGTTGTTCCCGGGTTATGTAACACCCCATCCAACCCTTGAACACCCGCGCGAATATTGGAGTTAAGGTGCCAGGGGCGGAGAAGGTGACCTCAGAGGGCTCAGACCCAACCATCCAAACCATCCCTACCGACGTAACGGAGTACATTCGAATACCTCCAGAACGGTTGTCGCCCTTCAACCATTTCTCGAAGCACTAACTGCTCAATCATTCATATCCGCAAGCTCCTTGCGACTCGAGTTACAACAAAGTACCTAGCTGCTACATCATCATTCGCCACCGCATCCATAAAGGAGACCACTCGATCCCAAGCGCACGGCGGCCTCGAATATTATCCTCCAGGACAGCGATGTGTTTCTGTTCTGCCTGTACCCCCCTGCTTTGCGTAGGTTCAGCCGTTGGTCTTTTTCTCACAGACTTTCAAAGAAAACCAGCTTGTCAATATTCCTGACGTCACATTAAGAGAGTAACTAACTAGTTAACTAGTTAGTTAGTTAACTAATCATGCTGCTGCGCAACCCACACAAGGTGTGGGTTGCACCAAATTAAAATGATAAAAATCTTGCAATTTCATCATCTTCATCATCTTCATCAATTAATAACTCATCACAATGTCAAATAAGGATAAAAATATTGAAGATCATATTCAAAAAGCTGTCATTTATCTTCAAAAAAACTCAAATTTCAAAATACTATCTCTGTCACAAGAATTTGAGATTTGTTATCAATGTCTTCAAGTGTGTATCAATGAAAGAAATCTCAATACTGCAAAGATTTCAGTTAACAAGAGATTAAACAAGAGTTAAAAGAACACAATTAAATGATAAATCAAGCTACTTGATGGAAAGAATTTTTCTCTCATAGTTGAACATATTGAAGATTTCACAAATTCAATGCTTAGATGTTAGCACTTAGATTCTACTATTTCTTCTTCAAAAGTCAGCAAGATGTGAACTTATAGATTTATTGAATATCTATCTGAGTATAAAAAAGTGAAACAGAAGTCAATAAATTCAAAAAAATTGACAATTGAAGATATTGAATATATTAATACATGTTTTGAATATTGTTATAGAGTGAATGTGAGTTGTATAAGAAGAAAGCTCTCTGCATTGCTAACTGCAATAAAACAAAATACTAAGATTGATGAGAAAAAAAAATGTCAGAGTCTGCTCAGATTATAAATGACTAACATGATCACATGACTGAATCACAAAACAGCTCATGTGATCATGTGACTGGGTTACAGCTGATCTGCTAGGTCTCATGTGAGATATAATCACAGTATGAGGATAAATCTAGCCTCAGCACTGAGTTTAACATCACCTTCTGATCTAGAAGTGGGCATGCTCTCATGCTGAAAGATCATCATCATCTTCATCTTTCATATAGCTGCTCATCATTTATGTTCTTACTCATTTATATATATGTTTTAATGATTTAACTTTAATGAGATTGATTTTATGAAAATTCTGTATTGCATAGAGGGATTTATTGAAGTTATAGAGAAAATATCATGAAGAATTCTCATCAAATCTCTTTCAGTGTGTCTGATACTACAGCTTGTTTCAGCTTATTTGACTGATCAGTATATAATTTATTTTTTATTTATTTTCTTTATTTATTTTGATTGAGTCTAGTGATCTAATAGTTTAGCCAGATAGAGAATCTCTGAAATCCTTATATAAGTTGTCTGAGGAGAAGATTGAATGAATTTTCATTATTGTGAGAAGATTCAGTTTGTAGATATTATTCATCTTTTTCAAAATTTTAAATAGATCAACATTCTGCTCTACTAGTTTATAGATTGATCAATTCATTTTATATGATCTCAATATTAGATAAATAAAATTTTCTACTTCAAAGTCAAATTCTTGATGATATTTGTCAGTCTGCCTCTTCATTTGTTTTTGTACTATTCTTATGTCTCTACTTGTCTGATTTCAGATCTCTCTTATTTAGTAAATGAAGCTTCTTGTTGCTTTTTAATTTCTTTTCTTATTTATAATCAATTTTTTCATCAGTGATTGTCAATCAAATGATATCTGAGATTCATATTCATTTACTATAAAGAAGAAGAAGATTTCTGTGAAAGCATTTAATATAGCTATAGAGACATGATCTATATTAAGCAGTCACTTATCTTAGTCATCTTGATAATAACTGACATAAAGATGAAGACAGATAATAATGTATTAATTTATCACTTCTATCTGTTCATCAGTTTATTATATGATGTGATATTGAGAGTTTTATATTCAGAATTTATATAAACTTATCTTAAAAACTTAATATGAACTGAGAGCCTTAGTTAGAGATAATTGAGTCAGATATCCTATTGTATGAATAGTAGAATTGAAAGAATAGTCAAGTCAGCTCTCAAGCTGTAACTTCTCAGATGATTGAAATTATAAGGCGCTGAACCCCTAGATTCGCTCTGGCTGGCTGACTCAGCCTAGTCATTGTTTGCATGTGCGCACGTGATCATGCTACGTGAGCTTGCTTAAGCTCATGTTCTCATCTTATTCTTTTCTTCCCTTTCCCAAGCAATTTGTCCTTGCTATATAGGAGGACTAGCCTCTAGTTATTAGAGCTTAATCCTCTACATTATGAATTGCTTCACTTCTTTCATTGATAGATCACTGAGAGCCTTAATTCTGTATCATGAAGCTCAGAAAATATACTGACATATAACAGACTATTGAAAGTCTTAAATTCTGCATCACAAAGTTCAGTGATAGCACTGATATATGAATAGACTGGGTTAGCAATCATGCTAACAAATGAATGAGCAACATTGAAAACATCTAGCTGAATGAGATAAAGCAGTAGACTTGTACAATGAATACATAAATGAATTAATACAAAGCAATGAGCAGGGATACTCTCAGCAGCTTTGAACAACAATGAATGACCTTTCTTCAATAGCAGAAACAGGTTCAGTGTGAGAACAGAGATTTAATAGCAGCTCAGCAAGCTGAAATAGCTAATCTACAACAAGCTTTAAACATCTCAATATCAACTCTCTTTTAATTGAATCTGCAATCACTCATTGCAGTCAGAAGATCAAAGATCAAGCTACTGAATTGTGAGAAATATGATGATTCTAATCTGAAGCACTACTCTCAGTGAGAGCTAAAGCTTCAATCAAAACTTAAGATTGATGAGAAAGCTTTAGATAATAATGAGTAATGTACTTGATATGTGTACTTGAGACTGAAAAAAATGGCAGCAGCTTGAGTTTACCTCTGAGTTGAGAATAATAAGAACAAGATCAACTTCATGATAGAGAGCTTACTGAAGCAGACACACATGCTCTTTAGTGATTCTACATGACAGAAAAAGGCTATGTAAAAGCTCAACAATCTATAACAGAGTAGAAGAGCTCTCTTTGACTTTCTGCCTGAATTTAATCAACTACTGCTGGAAGCTGATAATCATGAATGAGATGATCATGTTAAAAAGAAGTATTTGAAATCTGCCCTAAGCATGGAGCTGAAGGAAGGCATGGTAAGTGTAAGAAAATCATCTCTCTATGAGAATTACTGCAAGGAGCTTAGATTAGTTAATCATCAACTCTCTGAGCTTAAGACTTTAAGACAGTGGTCTAAATATCACAAGAGCAGATCTTCTTCAGATCATACAATGTCTAATTCACACTCTTCACTTTGTCATGCTGTTCTTGATCAATGAAACTGGTCTCAAGCTTCTACTGATGATCTGATAAATATCTCTTCTGGTGCTGTGATTCCAGGCACCTGCCACATCAAATTGATAAATCAGACAGAGATTAATCAATGAAGAGAGCAAGGCCTGTGCCTGAGATGCAGAGCTGAAGATCATATGATTAATAGCTACTCATTCAAATCTCTCAGATACCCTGCCACCTCTATAATAGCTAAGATGATCTCTAAGCCAGTACTGAATGATGACAATGTGGATATGAGTGAAGATTCAGAAAAAGAGTAGCTCTAATCTAAAGACACTGAAAGAAGCAAAATAAGAAGCTTATGAAGAAGTAATGAAAAAGATTTAAATTTAAGATGATATTCAAACTCTTCACTGTTGATGCTCTAGTAGATAATGTCTTTTCAACTAGAGCAATGATAGACAGTGAATGTAATATCTATCATCTTATTTCTCAATTCTATGTTAATAAGTATAAGCTCTTATGCATTGAAATTCCTTCTGTTAA